AGCCTCTGTTGTCTCTCCTTCAACGATGGCGAATGCAATTGGGAATATATTTCGTTGACCATCTTGCGCAACTGCTATCAATAATATATGTCTGTATTGACCGTATAACCACGTACCATCTATTTGGACCATACGTTTGCAAAATGGAAAACCTTCTATGCAAGACTTGAATGCCCAAAAGAGTCTATGGAATATTCTCTTCCCTTGAACAAGTTGATCTTCTCGGTCGTATGCAGGCATGGTCTGAGACTTCACGATGGTTCCAGGTATGAATTGTTTCATAGCTCGTAACAAATCAGGTAACTCATTGTATGATGTATCCCAATCGCCATATATCAACCTCCTTGCCTTCTCCTTCGCATGCCACACGGGTTTGTATTTTACATTGTATCCGAACTGGTCTTGAATAGATGCAGCTAACACCGAGCAAGGGATCCTTGGATTTTGTTCAACCAAAACCTTCACATATTGACAAATTACATCGGAGTCCAGTAGTCGGTGGTCTTGTTCGATAGAGTTTTGCAAACATGTGTGTGGACCATTGTACCTTGTGATGACCCAAGCATCTTGCCTCTGCATTTTGGACACTCTGATCAACCATTTACACTCGGGCCCATATTTAACACACTTTGCGTACAAAGTTTTCTGGTTGGACTCTGCAGTCTTGCAATCTACATGGCCTCTTATGCAATACTCTTTAATCGCTAGTGTAGCTTCTTTTTTTCCTCTGTATTGATTCCCAACTGCTAATTCACCAGAGTTATCGGACGATTCAATCATATAGCCTGAAGTTAAATGTGGCATCTCCGGGAATTCAGGTGCCCTCATTGCTTCATAATCAATCTCCTGCATGTGAGGGGTAGGTTGATACGATGTCGAATATTCATCAATATTGATATCAGCTTCATCACCATGGAACATGGCATCATCCTCAGCCAAAAGAGGTTCCTCAGTTTCTTCATCTTCACTGGAATCTTCAAGTATTTCTTCCCAGCGGTTTTCAGCATCATACTCTGCGGCTCCAGATGTTCCACCAACTTCATTTGCGCTTTCCAACATCGCCACAAAGCTGTTCATCGACCTATATGTTGGGTTATCGAAATGACTCTCGAAACCCATTTGAGATGAAGTTTCAACCGCATTTATTGATGACCCAGGCACATTAGATATATTACACAACTCAACAAATAACTCAATAATTGGAATATTTGTTGAGTCATGTAATTCAACCATAGTTATAATATCATCGTCTTCTTCAAGTGGTACTGCAGCATACCTGATCGGATTGGGACATACCATAAATCTGTATCTCAAACCATCAACTTTAGCACGTATTTTTCTTTCTATCCTCTCCTTGATCTCTGCAAATGTGATGTCCCTTTTAAACATCATATTTATAGGTGTTTCAGACTGAAAAATAACTCCGACCTCATTTTCCATCATATGTCCATTGTAATGGACAATCGTGAAAAATTTGTTGCTCATTTTCTCTACACGTAAAAATATAGATATTCAGAATAAATTACATTAATAATGTAATGAAAATTAATTATTTACAAAACTATAAATAATAAATATAAATTATGTTAACAATTGTTTTATAAAAATAATACTTAAATACATTATTATTACAGTAAAAATATCAGGATTACATAATGGGAATTTTTTTCCCACTAAATCAAAATAAAAATTCTAATAATTATTATATAAAAATACAACTAAAAATTATACGAAAATTTAAATTAACAATAATACTCAAACTTAAATTTTCTGTATACCTAATCATCAAACTTACATTTTCTAATTTTAAATTATCATTAGTACTCTAAATTACATTACTATGGTCTCATGAACAAAATTTAAATGTATCATTCTCCTAAATATATGAGCATTCTTTCAACACGAAAAAAGCAGAGTTCGCATGGGAAACGAGAAAGAACTTACGTGTTTTTGAACGACGTTAAACCAAAGCTCGAAAAATTACCGAACCAACAAAAATCTCCAATATCACTTCAAGCAGCAGCTTCAATTGAATCTAATGCAAAAAAAAATTCCCTCACTTGCTTCTGTAAGTTAAAACCAACTGCATGCAATGAAATACAATACCCACCCCTATTTTATAACAAGTAATTGAAGACTTCGAGTAAATTATTAGTCTCACGCTTCAGACGAATCTCACGCTTCAGACGAATCTCACGCTTCGGCCACAAAGAATACAGACGCATGCAGAATGAATCTCGGAAGAAGAAGACGCCGAGATTTCACGACCACCTGCAACCAAATATTCTCCATGTATAACTTAAGACGCCGGGAAATCGAACGCCCCTGTAACCCTATTAACTAAAGACGCCGAGCACTCCTATTATTATTGTATTCAACTGTTAAATCAACTCTGCATGCATGCAGAGAGTCATGCAGAGATGAAGACGTTCAGGCCCCCAGAATGCATGCACGATTCAGAGAGTAATGCAGAGATTCCCGCCAGACGACAGGTGAAGACGCCGAGAGATCCACCTTGGCGTTCCTTGTAGCATGCAGAAGACGCCGAGAGATCCCACAGTCCAATTGCTTGAAGACGCCGAGCATTCCCATCAGACGACAGGTGAAGACGCCGAGAGATCCACCTTGGCATTCCTTGTAGCATGCAGAAGACGCCGAGATATCCCACAGTCCAATTGCTTGAAGACGCCGAGCATTCCCATAGTGTCATAACCCCAAAGACGCCGAGAAAGCAATCATGGAAAAATTAACCCTAAAAACGCCAAGATATCCAAAGAACCACTTGAAGCACTGTACATTTCACCCCATTTCGGGAAATAATAAATAAACTGGATTTTTTTGAGAATTAAACCATCACTAAATCATTATTTGGGCAGTTTTACCGCCCTTTTGAAATACTTAAATGTAAAATGTGAACGGGTTATTGGCGCCCTTTAGAAGTACCCAAAAGATTTAGTTACATAGATTCAATTTTTAGTTAAAAATCCTATAAACAATCTAAACGGAAAAAATAGGGTTATCCTCTCCCTGTTTATGCTTATAATTAATAGAAGCTATTGCTTTGGGAATTTGATGTAGATGAAGCCGTTTGTTGAACTCGGAGCAGGCTTTGGCAGCGGATACGATCCTTCTTAAGCTGGATCATGTCGTTTCTTACTCTTAGTGGTGGTAAGTTCAATTCTCTCGATTTCTCATACACAAGAATTTGATTGCTTTAACTTGCTGTTAATTTTAGAAATTTTCTTGTTCTGTGTTCAATAGAGGTTTTAATGATTATTTAGGAAAAGCTCGCAAGGGTTTAATATATATATTCTGTTTTGGTTTGAAATGTTTTAGGAGAGTAGATCACTTTTGCTTGCGGAACTTGTTCCCTGTAGAAGTTTAATGAATTAAAAATCGATAAGTTTGAACTATGGTTTAGATAAATGAATGAATTATCAATCGATATCATTCACGAAGAACATAAGTGAATGAATTATGCTACTGGAGTTTAAATTGATGTCAAACCTTTGACATAAACCAAAAGTGTAAAGGAAATAAAGTTGAAAATGCAAGCAATAAGACAATGCCAGAAGAAGAGTCACTTAAAAAATTTCGAGACTAGTTTGATATTCTCTAAGTTGAAGCTCATTTTTTCTATCGTTTTAGTAGGAAAGGACACGTACTGATGGTTGTACTATGACTCTTTGGGAAACAAAAAAGCCTCTAGACCAGAAGGGTGGAAGAAGCATTAGTTTTTTTTTCCCTACCTTTCAAATTGCTTGTGTGTGAAAATGGCCAATGAGTGAAGAGGTGTTCTTTTTGGGGGAAAGGAGGTAAAATATACTACTAGAAGACAAGACTGTTAACTAAATATGGTCTGTCATACTTGGATACCATAACTATGCATTTTATAATAGCATGAATGAAGAAAAACTGATGGCATGCACCTGTCGCAATTCCCAACTTGAATTCTGAAAACCAATTTTCATTCTTTGGGTCAGACAAGAGGACTTTCCATGATTCGTAGAATATTTGAAGTTCATGTTAGGTTCTTGTAGAAATCTGAAATTGAAATAACTTTTTCATTTAGGTAAGTTCATATCTAAATGCCAGTTACTCAGAATCTCAAAAGCTTCCAGATCAGATTAATGTTTTTTGCTCCCCAGTAAGATCATATTATTTGCAGCTATAACATCGTAATGTATTTCAAGAGATTGCATTTTCAGATTTTTTAAAATGAAGTCAAAACTTTATTGCTCTCAGTGTTCATATTTACTTTTATTCTCTGGTGTCATGTCTATCAGTTCCTTTGCATTGCAGTACATGCTGCGCAAAATGTGGAAAATGTCCAATCTGTTTTGTCTTCCATTGAAGAACACTTACCTTTATATGATCTTCAATCCCAAATTTGGCTACTTTTCTGCAACGATGGAAGTGCATGACAAAGGCCAAATAACTTAACAGGTCAGAAGTTTTTATAAAGTTTTCACAGTGGAGATTCTTTCTTGTTTGAATTGACATGCGCTAGTGTAGACATACAGAGAATGTACGTTCTATGAATTACAACAAGATTATGCCTGCCTGATAGGAATGATCTTCTGACATGGGATTGATTGCAAGATTATGCTTGCTTGTTAAATGGATGAAACTGAACACAACACTAAACACTAAACAGATTGTGCTTTAATTTCAATTATATCATTGTTATCGTTACATCTGGTAAGTCGTGAGGTTAAATGCACATAAACATATAAATATATAATAATCTTCGATTTATAAATTTGTTTTTTTTGACAAAGTTCGATTTATAAATTTGAAAGGATTATGAATATTTAAATATTATCTATCTGTATATATATAAGTTGAAAAATGTCCTTAGAATTTTAGTTATGTGGCTAATTTTTATATGTAGTATTGAACCATTATTGTTTTAGTTGCTTATATAGTTGTAAAAAAATGAAGATTTAGAATCAATCCTGGAACATATTGGATCATAGGGTTGATATTAAAGTTTAATCTTGAAAGAACACGAGCCAATCCATGATCTAAACCTTTTAGGACCAATAATACATGTGTGATCTATAATCTATTGTTCTAGTTTCATAACCGCCCACTCAATCATACTCACCCCCTGGTAAATGATACTAAATTCCCAAAATACACGATGTAACTACTACTAATACTTTCTTCACCAATTTAACAATAAGAAGTCCTAAAACAATTATTGATTAGAATTGAGAAGTTTCTCATGTGCATATCGCTGTGATAGCCAATGCTTCTGGTTTAGCAGCGGTCTCACAAATGTCATTGTTGCTTGTCGTTACTGGCTTGCTCACTGCTTTGGCATTACCGAATATCTTCTTCGCAAAGTCATCGAAGCACTCAGCGATGGTCTGGAAAGTAGCGTCTGGATAGAGAGAGCAGACTTCAACATCAGTTGGCTTGTCCATACTGAAGTTTATTTGGCAGCCATTGATGAAAATGTCATGCGTTATCGCCGCAACCACACTCTGAGGGATCCGCATCTCTGGAGGGTTAGTACCGATTGGGTTAGCCGACAAAACTAATGGTTAATGAGGATTTAGTTCTTCAGAGAAAGCTTACTTCACTCGCAAGAAAAGTGGATTTAAGACAAACCTTGAGCCCTTTGGAGCAGATCTTCTTCTGCTACAGTGACCCTAGGAAGCATGCGACCAATCTTCGTCTCCCATAGTGAAGCTATCTCATTCATGTTAAGTAGGTTGCTTGGGGGTTGAAAATGAACAGTTTTATTTAGTGTTCGCTCATCATTAATGGACATCACAGTGAACTTCCCGATATCAGATCCCGCCACAAAGTACGCTGTCGAATCACCACAGAATGGTTGAAGTTTTGATTAATAGTCATTACTCGGTTTTGTGTTCTAATGTGGTGTTTCAATTAGCTAATAAATATTGGCCAAAAAAATTAGTTAGTCACTGGCCTTTTGCGAGTTTGTTGGGGGAATGAAGCAACGGGTAGCACTCAGGACAGGGTTAGGAAATGATGGTTACGTGATTTTTTGCTACCTATCCTTCCTCTCAACATATCAGTCACATTCCTCTCTTTGCTAGGCTTGACACTTTGACTCTTAAAGTTACACAACTGCTGAAATCTGTAAGCTCAACTACAAAATCCACTACCACTAAGCATTTTCTTCGACAACAAACACAAAACATTAATCAGGGATAAATATTGGGCCTATGGTATTTAGATTTTAGTGTGTGTCAGATAGAGTATAATTATGTTTTCTGAATTGTTCCATTCATGTGAATCATTCTTGGATGTGTTATCTATTCGTGTCCACTCAGAAAACATAGATATACCTGTATCTGACACACCAAAATCTAAATATTACTTTATGTTATGATGTTATCTTATCTTATCACATAACATAAGGGTAAATTACAAATTTAGCAACTGAACTTTACTCTTTCTTTTATTTTACTCAATGTACTTTAATTTTTTTTCAATTTCCTCACTAAACTTAATACATTGGATTTTTTATCATTTGATTGTTAAATTGTTAAAGGTATTAAAATGGACTGTTATATAGATGCAAATTGACGTTTTGGTGAAAATTTTGTTTTTTTTAAAACGGTCTCATTTTTAACGCCGTTAACGATATAACGGTGGAGTGACCAAAATATAAGAGAGAGTAAAGTTAGTGAGAGAAAAAAATTCAATGCATTAAGTTCAGTGAAATTTTTTAAAATTCGATGAGCAAAATATGAAAGAGCTGAGTAAAGTTCAGTAGTGAAATTCATAATTTACCCGATAACTAATTATGCTGTGTGGTCTCTTCATTTCTCTTGAAATATTCGTGTCTAACTTTGACTCTTACATTCATGTGTTGGATACTAATATTTCAAGAGAAATGAAGAGTCCAAACAATATAATTAATTATCTATGTTATAAGATAACATCTAGTAATGTTTGAGTTCACTGATATCAGAGAAATTAGCTTCAAAACTAAGACACCCATGTGTCCACTGGGGAGTGATTTAAGTACATTAATATCAGAGAGAGAGAGACATTAGCTTCAAAACTATGAAACCCATGTGGCCACCGGGGAGTGATTTAATTCATAGACATAGATTTTCATCGGGAAAAAAAAATTAGAATTAAGGCAGAGACAATGAAGCAAAAAGAAGGAAAAATGTGGGGCTGAGAATACCTTTGACGGTGCCATCACCGTAGATTTGGAACCTATCAAGGGGCGGGAGAACATCAGCTGGGTGAGTGTTGTCATGGTAGGGCCAAGCAGCAATGGAGTTGCAACATATGTAACTGTACGGAATCCCGCACTTCTCTATCTCCCTCCTAACCTTCCTCTTCTGCTCATACATGGTTAGGCCCGGCTCCACCGGCTCCGCCCTGTCTATGTCATGCCCGAATTCGGACGGAAGGAACCTCTGCAAGTTAAATCAATTTTTTCAGGTTTCATTCATTGAAACTCAATATTGCCTTTTGAAATTATTAACTTCATATGGTTTTGGGGTCTCAATGTTGCACAGTTGTATTGCATGCTATACACAGACATAATACAATAATACAATAATACAATAATACATAGCATGCATATGTAGATGTATATGTATATGCGTACATGCATATACCTTGACAGTGTGGACATTCTTAATAGCCTCTACTAGAGTGAACTGGTCCAAGATGCTCTCCCCTCCTACTGCAGATATCACAACTTCTATCTTATATCCCCTCAAAACCTTCTCCATGAATTCTTGGTTGGTTATGGATCCCTGTTACAAACATTTTTAGGGCTTGCATGAAAATATACATATAGGTACTATTGCATGAAAACCGCTTGAAAATGCAAAGATAAATAAATATGAAGAAATGTCTAGGCAAAATGGTAGTGCATACATAAATTATGATGGCTCCTTTGTCTTGAAGGAACTTGATGGTGGTTGCCTTGGTGGAGGGTGAGTTTGAACTAGACCGGACCAAAACATATGTTGGCCGGCCTGATTCTAGGCAGGCTTCGGTAATGAATCGGCCTATAAACCCGCTCGAACCAATAACTAACGTCCTACCGGTCTCCGACTCATTCAGAGAAGAACCATTTGTGTGTGCTGATTTCATAATTGCTTGCTTGTGTAGCTTACAATTTTTTGGCACACAATGGAAAAGGAAGGAAAGAGGGTTGAGTGAAAAAACAGCATCCGCTTGTGTTTATATAGAGGTGAGCACCTGAAAAGTTCGGTAGCAAATAACAATGGTAGAATATTAGCAAGAGCGGCCTTTCAATTGTGTAACATTTTTAGGCTGGGATTTATTTTTGGGAAAAAGGTAATCAGTAATATAATAATTGATTTAATTATTATTAGTAGTTCAAATAGAGCATAGGCTTTAGGAACAATATCAAAGTTCTAAACCTTTCAAGAATTTTTGTTTTATTAGTAAAGAAATAAACATTTCAATAAAATTCATGTCCTTAAACTTCACTATTTTTAATGTAAAATATTCAACATTAGTTGTAGAAAATATGATGATCAATTTCAAAACTTGTTGTAAGATGTAATGGACCTGTCCGCTGATGAGTGATCTTTTTCAAGTATTTTTTAAAAAATACAATTTGTATTTTAAAAAGATAAACCTAATAAGCATAAAGCATTTATGTTTTCCTGGAGCTATTGATTTATTGTGCTCGGTTACTATATTAATTTCGTGCGCATAAAACAGTAGTGGGGTAACTACAATTTTTAAATCCAAGAAGCACTAAATCTTTGTTTTTACGCTCCAACAATTACTACCCAAAAAAACGATTTCGGGTATATATTTGAGTTAGTTTTTTATGAAATTATATTATTTATTTAATTTATTATTATAAATATATATATATTTGTACATATTTTACATATATTTTTTATAAAAGAATGTGTTAATAATCGTACAAAAATCATAACTCAAGATCTATAACAATAGAAGATTTGAAATATAATATTGTGAGGGAAGGATGGGTAGAGTTTGGTGGTGAGGTCTTGACTAGTAGATAGGACTCTTCCTTTCTGGAATTGGGTTTGTTCCAGTACTAGTCAACTCATCAAACGTGGTAGCTAGGATTTTCTAACTACTCAATTCGGTATTAATAATTAATTATGGGGTAAATTATGCATTTATTACTCAATTTTAGTTCGTTTTAATATCTGAACTTTCAATTTTCTTAAAACTATGCATAACGTTTAGTTTTCAATTCATTTCAGTACTCTGTCGTTAAAAATTTAACGTGTTTAGTATCTAAACTATCAATTTTGATTATATTTCAATTTTTTAAAAAATGTAACGTTAAATTTTGAACGATAGTACTAAAATAAAATAAAAACTAAAGTTTTTAACGCATGTACTAAAATGAAACAAAAACTAAACTATATGTATGGTTTTGAAAAAATTCAAAGTTTAGGTATTAAACGCATGATTTACCCCTTAATTATGTATTAATTGTTGGTTCAACCGTCCCAGTTTATCTTGAACTTTGATAAAGTCATCTATGGGTAATCAATCTTCCATGAAGGGGGTGTTTAGTTCAAGGATTGTGGGATTCCCATGGGATGGAAATCCCATGTTTGGTTGGCCGGGAATCTCATTTTCAGTAATATTTTATTACCAATAGTAGATTTTTTGGGATATATTATCGGGAATGTTATTACTTTCATTCCCTTAAGTATTGTAACATTACCTGAGGTATTGTAACATTACCTGCGTTTTGGACTAAAATGTTTAAATTTTTATTTTTTTTCAAAAATATTCTTCTTCTGTCATTAAATAATAAAAATTCTATGAAGGTTAAATTATAAATTTATCCTTAAATTATTTTAGATTTACAAAAAAATTCTATAATTAAAATTTTATATGAAGTTCAAGGGTTAAAAAAAATTTACCCTTTCATTAAACCTTTTTTATATTTTTAATTTTATAAAAAAATTATATAAATATTATGAATTTAATTTTTTAAAGAAAATATATAAATATTTTACAATTTGTAATATTATACAAATATATAATAAGGACAATTTGGTTAAATATGCATTCTAATAATCTTTTATTCCTTTAACCAAACACGGTAATCTTACATTCCTGATAAACCAACCAAACACAAAATACAACATTCCAGTAATCCTATTCACTGGTAATCTTTTATTCCCACTGGTAATCTTACATTCCGTGAACCAAACGCACCCGAAATGTCTCCTGGGTTTTGGAGCCAAGGATAAGATTATTTGTTTGTGGAATCCCGCTATGAGTGGCTTATGAATATTCTTTTTATTAATATACGATAAGTATAAGATAAGATAATATAAGTTTTAAAATAATTTTTTGAACGTTTATATTTCTGACATTATTAGTGCTATAACTCAGAACCTCAAGATGTAACAATAATTTTTTTTACTACCAAAATCGTTTGGTTCGTGTTTTTTTAATATCTTTTGATATATACTTTATGACCCCTAGTGTGACAACCCATAACCAAAATTGTGGAATTGGTTGGTTGAACATGCTCAAATGTGCTCTATGGTTCAAATCAAGACCAAATCGTCATGGGATTGGTAAGGTACATATTATCTTTCTTTCTTTTTTTGTGTGTCGTTTCAGATACAGTTCTAATACCATTCTCTGAGTATTCATCTCGAGCTACTCGAGAGTGATAACCTAAACCTAATCATATTCATCAAATTAGGACCGCAAAGAAGCTTCATGGATTATTGACAATTTATTGTGTCTAAAGAAGCTAATGAGGTAGCCAGAGTAATTATTGTTCACTTATATTAGGAAAATAATCGAAATAATACATAAAAGATGATGTAGTTTAACTTTATTTACTTTTAAGGTAAAATTAAATAGATAATTCACACAAAAATGTATTAAATATATATATTTTTGATTAAACTAAGGTAATTACAGATTAGTATTTATTCTAGACACTTTCAACCATTTCACAACGAACGCTCAATCACCCTTGTTACAATTACTGATGCTCGAATATGAGATCTCTAGAAATAACAATCATTCCTTTAACCATTGAAATAATTTAATTTGTGCAAAAAAATATTAAATATAAATACATGAATAGAATTATATCTTAAAACTCAGAATATAACAATAATCAATTGTTAACATAATTTGTTTATCACATAATTTTGATAATTTTGTTTGGTTGGATATGTATACAATTCTTTTAAAACTTTTTTAATTAAATTTTCAAAAAAAAAAATTTGTTGAGATACGTCAACTGGACCATTTGGATAAGATAAGAGTTATTAAAAATTAGGTGTAAATGAAGAGTGTTCGTTGCACAATTCGTTAACTTTTCGTATAACATTCGTTTATATTCGTTTGTTAGGCTAAATAAATAAATATGAACAAAATTTTTAATGTTCATTTAATAAATGAACGAACAAGAACAAATGTGTGTTGTGTTCGTTTATGTTCATAAACAAGCTCGTTTATAATCATTCCAATTCTCCAAAACTTGATCAAAAATCATAAATAGGTTATTTTTATTTAAAAAATTACAAAAAAATAAGGGTGCTCAACATTCTACGACAATCTCACCCTGTTTTTAAACTTGATAACCATAATTTTGACCATCAACATTGTGTGCATCAATAAGAACTTGAACAGAATAAAAAGCAACATTATAAGGAAATGATAGGAGGCAGTATCACTGATAAAATGATAACATGGCAGTGCCATTCAATAACAAAGCAGTTTTTACTGAGCAATGCTAATGGCCTCCCTTCTCTGCAATCAAGTTTAACAGCCATGCAAAGTGCTGAACCATTTCTGCGTCGTATAGGGCACTTTTAAAAAAATAAAAGTTCACCAGGTTACAGATATAATTAAATATATCTTTTTTCCGTACAATATCACATGTTATAATAGCACAACCTCCACAACCTTTTCAATGCTGCAGCATATGATTACAACTGATTGACCATTAGTGTATTTCAATGTACCAGTAGTAAGACCATCATGAAAACATAAAGCCAACAAACATGAAAAAAGATACAGGAAATAAAAAGAAAACATCAAAAGGTAGGGCAGTCCAATAACCTCTTCGAAGGGCAACATATGAACATATTATTGAAAAGGCTCAGCAGAATGTAGTTACCTTTGTCTCTCGCTCTGGATTCTGATTCAACCTGAATAAGTTCCACAGCTGGTGAAAAAGGAGATGCATAAAACCCAAGCCTTAGTATGCTAGATTCTTTATGCTCCCCGCAGATCTGCATAGATGAAATTGCTAAGTCATCTAGAGCCAAAATTCTTTACCAAGTGTAAAGAGAATTGAAAATTCCAGAAATCATGAAAAGATTTATAATGAATCATACTAAAAGAGGGGCATGGAATAGTATCAAGAAGAAAGGAAAAAATTTACATCACAGTGGGAAACATCATCAAGGTTGACCATTGTGCAGTTGTACAAAGCCACTTCAAAATCTCTACGTGCTTTTGTACAGGCTCCCAGTCACTGTCATCATCATCAAATGCATCTTGATTGTTGTATATATCCTGAAAAGTCAATTCTTTTGGCAGTCTCACCTTTTTCTGCAGACAAACCTCAGAGCAAATTCAACACTTCAGAAAGAAGCAACATAACAAGAACGGAGAACCGACGTCCACAGCAACCATATCCATTGAAACTAAAGGAATTCCTTAAGTGTGCTGCTTACAGATGCATTGTCAAGCTGTGTGTCTTCATCTATATTGGCAGTCATATCTTGACCAGATGTTCCATATCCCCTTTAGCATAAGAGCCATTATGACAAGAAGCTGATGCCTGCTCATCAGTTCCCAAATGTTTTCTTTTAAAGCCTTGATTGCTCTCATCCCCCCATTGGTCAAACAACTCACTTGAACTGTTTCAAAAATCATCTGCCATTGAAATTTATTTTAAAAAACGCACAACCCAATTAATAAAAGTTACAAGGAAAGGAACAATGATTAAAATATGAATTTTGAAAACAATAATTAAAATAAGAGGGAAAAGAACAAGATAAACCCCCCGAATCTGGCAAAACAAACAGTAGAAAACGAGATAAAAACACAAATTTCAAAGGGATCAGGCAGACAAAAAGCAAACAATTAACTCAAGATTTTACATAATTTCAAACAACATAAAAACAGAGCATAACTAAGCTATACTAAACATCACAATATACCTACAAATACCAACTAAAAGAAGAGCAAAAAGTTATAAACTCTTAGCTAACTAAAACTATCCGGGCTTTAAACTAATTACAAACATTTAAAAAAAAAAAGAATCACTCAACAAGTTCAGCGTAGAAACTGAGATCTAAAAACTCAGATACAAATAAATTTTGAAAGGGAAAAAAAGTATGCATTAAAAAATAAAAACCCACATAGTAATTCATGAGAATAAATAAATAAAATGCAAAATGGAACTCTAAGGCTATATTACAGCTAGAAGAGTGGCGCGAACGAGATTGCTTCTTTTAAAAAGATCTAACCTGCATAAATATATACAGCTCTTCTCTAGAAAAACAAAAACCATAGATTACAGAAGGAACACTGGGCGGAGAGGAAAAAGAAAACAAAGGTGTGGATTAAAATAAATAAATAAGTGGAAAAAACAGTATTTGCTTCTGTTATTTTACCTGGCTAGAGCAAACCGTGGAAGGTCTCCTAATGTAAATTCGGTACTTGTGAGTGGAGAGGCAAAACTTTCGATATAATGTTCTGGAAGAAATTAATTCACGAGTTAATGCACTCCCAAGATTAATTGCTCAAATAGGGTGAAATCCACAGTGTTGGTCGTAGGTCGCCATGTATTCCTCGCCATGCACTCCGGGCGACTTTACAGGTCGCCATGCACCGGACGACCTACTCTTGCTCAAACAGAGAGAATGAACGTGAGAATGAACGTGTTGCATGGCACATGTATGTCCCAACACATAGGTCGTCATGCCATTCGGGCGACCTACCCTCACTCTGATTCCCTCGCATAGCTCGTTCGGTTGCCCTCGGATGGCCTCGGATGTTCTCGGATGGCCTCGGTCGGATGGCCTCGGATGCCCAGCGTGTTGGGACGTACATGGCACATGCAATCTCTTGTAGCTCGTCGGGAAGACATGACGACCTAGTAGGTCGCCAGCAAGGCATGTCGACCTACGACCAACACTGTGGATTTCACCTTATTTGAGCAATTAATCTTAGGAATGCTTTATCTCGTGAATTAATTTTTTCCAGAACATTATCTCGAAAGTTTTGTCGAGTGGAGAAGGTGGCGATTAAAATACCATTGCTTTTATTTTATTTTATTTGGAGAAAAATTTATTCCATGATTAAAAAGCATTCGTAGTTTGTATTGCACCCATAGTTTTTGTATGGGTTGGGTTGAATTTTTTATTCATTTAAAATTTATCTAATAATTTTAGGATAAATTATGCATTTTATATTTAAACTATTAGTTTTAGTTTGTTTTTATATCTAAAATTTTAATTTTTTTTTAAAAAATCATATCTAACGTTTAATTTTTAGTTTTATTTTAGTACTCACTATTAAAAACTTAACGTGCTTTGATCCGTTTTAGTACCTTAATTTTCAATTTTTAAAAAACTTAACATTAAATTTTAAACATGAATACTAAAACGAAACAAAAATTAAACTTTAAGTATACTTTTTAAAAAATTAAAAGTTTTAAGTACTAAAATGAAATAAAAATGATAATTTAAGTGTTAAACATGTAATTTACATTATTTTTTTATGTTATTTTCCATCTTAAACTTGAACCCAATTCAATCTTATCCTTGAAAAGAAACCGATCAAATTCAATATGATTATTTAGTAATAGGTCAAAAGATTTAATAATCTTTTTATAATTTTGGGAAGTTCAATGACTAAAAAGATAATTTGAACATAAGTTACTTTGCTATATTTATTCTTTTTCCCCCTATAATTCTATTCATTTTCAGAAAACCATTTGCCCTTCCCAAGAGATGACTATCCAACTCAGTTGGTAAAGCATAAGGTTCTTAACTTTGAGATCGTGAGATCGAGTCTCACGGAGAGTATTTTATAATTCAGAGATATTCTACGGAAGTTGCTCTCAACCTCTTATTCCATTATATATAGGAACAAGGGACAACCATTTGCCCTTCCCAAAGAACAATGTCCTTTATCTTCTAAGGTTGAAAAATATTTGGAGATTAACACAACTTGTCACGGTATATGGAAAAGACAACAACTGGTGGAAAAAATTTACCTATTAATTTATTTCTAAAATTAATTTGAAATTCACAATATTTGCCATAATGATTTAAAACCCGTCACACATACATGACGAATTTCAATAAAATATATTTTTTTATTAAAACTTATCACTCTAATATGACAAATTCTAATAAAATAATTATATCTTTCTAAAATTTGTCACGTCGACTTGACAAATTTGAATAAAACAATTATCTAAACAAACTAATCATATGAGCGTGATGAGTTTACCCTATACTATAATATTTACCGTAGATTTCAAATTAAAATTTAGGTTGGCCTAATGGGCTAATCGGTTTACCCACTTGACTTATTGGGCCAATTTTGCCTTCTCTAAAGAGAAACCTTAATGGGCCAAAAAAAGTACGTAAAATACACACTGATCTTGTATAAGACCATAAACCATAGCTTCCCCTCCGTTGCATTGAAAGATCATAACTTGGTTTCTTTTAGTAACACACACGGGAGGATATAAACATGCTTCGTTTGGAGGAACACATATATATAAATAGATAGATAGATAAAATTATGCTGTAGCTACAGTATTTTCTTGAAATTATATGAGACAATATAGATTGCTCATTTCCTTTGCATCCTGCAAAACAAAATGACAAATTAATGAAATCCATTATGCAGAAACCAATCAAGAACTATGTTACTCGGATTGGGGTATGAGTGCCGGACCGGGGTGTGGCTAGATAAAAATGAAGAGTCCGAGCAACATAGATAAAAATGAAAAATAGCCTAACAATGGCATAAGATGAATTCTGGCCATGAAAGATGTACAGCAATAGTATCCCAAGAACATGAAATATGGTCTCATTTCTGACTTATTTGATCTTGCCATATTTCCATGATCAAGACTAAATGACATTTTTGAAAAGAGGTAGGCGGTTAAAATCATCTTTTGATACCTGAAAGATGAAATATATTTTTCAACCGTAGCATTTTGTTCGGTGCTGTAGTTGTACCATTGTTCTTTAGCTGCAACTGAATCCCCTACCTCGATATCTGCACATTAGCGGAAACAAATGAAATGGAAATTCGGTTGACAAGCTGATGAAACCCGGATTTTGGATAATCAAAGCATATGACAAACCTTGAAGCAGAATATTGGATTCACCCAAGTGGCCTCTCAATCTCCAGAATTTGAGAAACTTATGACCATGGCCGTCCCAAAATATTGGCTCCGATCTAACAGCATCTGATCGACAATCCTCCTCCTCTTTGGGCATCACTAGCAAGGTAAAATGTGTCAGCCAAAATATGCAAAGAGGGATCCATTTGTGCAACTATTAAGGACAATGTAACAGAACATACCCTCATCCACTGTCTCGGACACTTCCAATGTACCTGCAAGAGTATAGTCCACTTCAAGAGTTTGTGCCACTTCTTTCTTGATTCTAGAAATAAGCTCTTCATTCTCCGAAATGGAAAGAGGTGCACCATTTTTCATGATAATAGCTTTGGCTATCTCATCCTGCAACTTCTGCTTCATCTCTTTTTCCATGTTTCTCTCCTATTCAAAGAATTATGATCAGACAAGCAAAGGCATAACTTTAACATTAACACTAGCATTTGCTTGAGCTAAGTTGTCATATTGACTTCACTACCCTCTCTCTCCGAGAAAGAAGTTTTTCTTTCATTTTCTTTTCTTTCTCGACAAATTTCGAGTTTTGTTCATAAATCCAGCTTCTGAATTCTCTGAAGGGAAGAATTGTGAAATTTTTTATCAATACATTTTACTTAAGAATCTAAAAAGAAAAACATGACCAGAATTTATTGAAAGAACTTTATGACTTACGTGGTGACAAGAGATTCATCGCATAGAAAATTTAAGAGTCGCAGTTTTTTAGAGGAATTTAATTTCTCATATCTATCATCACTCATATCTAAGCAATCCGACAGTGACCGCTTTAATGGTTTTTGAGAATCACTGATGTATTCTCCAAGAACTTGAGCCCATGAAGTTTCACTTAAATCCCGACTAAGGCAAGGATACCTGCACAGAGAATTAATTCAGATGATCAATACACCAATTAAAACAAGGAACTGAATGTTTATGACTATCTATTTAAACATGAATACTCTTTTCCCAAATCCTTTTGCATCATGGAAAGCAGTCGAATATGAAACTGCACAATCGAAGGATAACGTAGTTTGTGTTTGCGTTTGCTTTTTCCAGTAAGTAACTCTCTAAGTATCAGCTGAGATTGCCCTTTCTTCATATTGAGAACCTGAAATCAAACAAAACTACCAAGTGAGAATACAGAACTAAGAGTGAAAATTTTAACCTATTAGGATGCATGCTAAACAAACAGATAACAAGTTCACCTCTCCAAAAGCTTCACAAAATTCTAGAAATTGCAAGGCGTGGCCAACATCCTCAGCAGGCAAGTCAATGCCATCAACACAGTTTAGTAATGTGCCTTGAGGCAGTGTTATATCGTCATCAGAGGCTTCACTTTTGACTTCTACATTTTTCTTCTTAGGATTTGGAGACTTATTATTTGGCTTGTTCTTTGCTATGGGAGTTGCATGGTTTAGCATTTCATCTTCTCCTTGATCACACTTCTTAAGGACCTTCATTTCAATTAGCTGGATAGCCGTGTTCCTGTCCAAAATCACTTCTCCTTCATACAATGCCTTTTTGGAGATTCTGGACTTTTTCGGAGTAACCTTTTGGGTCGAGAAATCAGCATCATTGCCTTCAGAGACGATTTCCCCACCATTCTTGCTTCTCAGTCTTTTCAACTTGGTATATTTAGTTGCAGCCTTTTTCTCATTGGCTTGTATTGAACCATTTGACCCTTTATCACTACTTTCCTTTCTGCTATTGCCAGTTTCCTCTGTTCCAGATTCCTGTTAGAAAATTGTAATAAACATTCATTTTATAGTTCATAAACCAGCAGATGAACCCATATCTATAAATAGAACTGTCTATTTTTCGGAAAATCGACATGGATCTTGCACTCATCCTATTGACCATTCTCTAATAAGACTAATACTATCTAAACATACCCAAGGAATTAAATGGAAAGCCTTTGAAGCAATAAAACAGATGAAAAATCCCAATCAAACCTTCTCTGCAGCTTTTCGCTTTTTAGACGACACAGCTTCACCAACAGTCTCTTGAGAACCTGATCTTTCGGAATCATTGAGATGCAACATATCCGAGACTGACGCAAACCCATTCGCCTTTGCTGCATGTACAAGTCTTCCGGTGGGCTGGTGACCTCGCTTCTTCCTACAAAGATTCAAAATTTCCCCATTTTGATTGCAAACAAAACAAATAATAAGCAAATGTTTGCAATTAACTTCCCAAACAAAATATTTGACTGACATGCAAAAACTACAGTTGCAAATTCCTCTACATTTCGGGCAATTCCAATCATTTAACAAGGCAACCTCCTCAGCCTTTTCTCCATATCTGATGGAAAAACAAACAAATAAACAATTAGCTATCATATTTCAATGTCACTAAAGTAACACATGCTTATTAGATCTAGATCATGCTATAGTTAAAAGGTTTTAAGAAGAATCTTGACAATAGAATTTTGTCTAATCGAGAGTAAGATCCAGCAAGTATGGTAATATTCTTAAAAAGTAAGGTAGCTTTATGTGGAACAAAGAACATAAAAAGACCTGTTCAAGAGGCATTTGTGACAAAAATGGATAGTACATTGTTTCTGGTTAATCTTTCTCTTGCATGATGCTGCAAAGTCCACTGTTTTTTGTCTACACTGCAAAATTTAAACACACTTATTTTTTTCCAAAGACCAAAAAATTTTGATGAAAAAAAAAACGATCAACCTAAAATATACATATACACCTGGTGACAAGTCTTTCCAATATGAGAATCATAGATTCGGTTATGGATGAGTCGAACTCCAGGCGAACTGTTGCGGCGACGCTTTGGACTGATTTTTTGGTCAGTCGAGCAAGCTGAGTCAGTGGGCCGAGTTTTTTTCTTCATTTCAAGCTTTAATTCATGATTTTGCATTTGAGCCAAACTTAAAATTTAGACTTGCGAGTTTTCGAATCGAGTTAAGTTTTATTTTTAAAGTTTTTGAGTTAAGTCGAACTGAATAATACTCGAGCTCGACTCGATTGGTTTCCAGTCCTACTTGAGTGGGATTGTTTTTGCAAAGTACATCTATATTTTCCCCTTTGCTTTTTATATTTGGCGACTTTATTTGAATAGGATTAGAGCGATTAATTGAATAGATTGATCTAAATTAATTGTTTCATCAATAGATGATAATAAATTGAATATAGAATGAGATGGTATAAATAATTAAAAGTTGAACGAATAAAAGAGAATTAAACAAATTAATAATTCTTTATATTTTATTTAATTATTTTTGAACCAATTGAATAAAAAATCAGTGGCAAAAAGGATGAGATTTATTAGCTTGTTATTTAGTCTGAATCAGTGAAACGATAGAATCCATAAACATAATTCAACATGTCCTAGAAGGAATTCGGGGTCTCTATGAGAATTTAGAAATTTGATGTTATATATAGAGAGAGAGGGAGTCAGGATCCGCTTACACTACGTAAAACTAAAAAGTTTTACATCTTTTTAGGAATATTAGAATATGAGAAATCAAAGACTAAGATTAATAGTAGAAAATAAAAATATATTTACTGAAAAAATTAAGAAGTTAATATCAACATTTGATTTCACATCATCCAACAATCCTAAAAAGATGTAAGACTACTATATATAGTAATCACACGAATTTATTTATATTCAAAGTCGAACTCTTAAATATAAAATAAAATTTTTCTTAATATTATTTGTTCACCCTCGAAATCTGAATTCAATTTTATTTTTGTATAATCATTATAATCCAATTGATCAACTCATCCGAATCGAATATTCGAGAGAATTATGATGAAAATAATAATCTCAACCCATTTTACTCCATTTAGTAGCCTAACATCAAGTTCCGCTTGATTAACTAGTAATTACCGTTTAATATCTTATTTAAAGAGACATCAAATTTTGCATTCAAAACAAAAACAACAAAAACGACATTGTCATTGTCATTAGCAATATCTTGGTGCAAAATCCACCACCAACTATAACCCTCACTAAAAGAGTATCCATTAACAAGAAGTAAAATTCCATTACAAGGAAGCCTCGAACTGTTCTCTGTGTAACAAAAAAATTCATTTCCGCAAAGCTAGGGTATACTAATTTCCATGTCCGTTTTTTATAAACACGAACAGCAGATAGATAAGACATTACAACAGATCACTGGATCAGTGGCCTAACTACTCACGAGTTGTATCATCTCTGTCCGGTTAACCACCGATGGAGCACGACAAAAGCCGCATTGACAAGAAATTTAATGAATCCAACTTCACTTGCCCATTGAATACCACAAGGAGAAGCACAACCCAACTCAACTTGCTCTACAACATATTCAATTGTTCAACCACTTCATGGAAACCAATCTAAAACACGAGGCTAAAAAAACCCAAAGAAAGCAATGTCCTAGCTTTAAGATTTTGCCCTGTAGGAAGAATGAAAACGGCTAAAGGTAGAAAACTTGTTAATCTAATGGTGTAGCTAAGAAGTAAGAATCGTTGGATTAGTAAGATTTTCATTCTTACCCCTACTATCCTTCCTACGAAGCAAAGCCTGAGAAAAAGAGTATACTTCCAAAAGACAAAAGTAAGATACTGAAGATGTCGAAGCTATTGGGTAAATAATGCATCATTTGCTTCACCTAGTCTTCATGATAAGCGGTATGGTTATGTCTAATCCAACTACACTTACCCATTGAATACCACAAGAAGAAGCACAACTCAACTTGCTCTGCAACATAATCAATGGTTCAACCACTTCATGGAAACCAATTTATAACACGAGACAAAAAAACCCCCAAAGCAAGTAATGTCCTAACTTTAAAATTTTGCCTAGAAGGAACAATGAAAACGGCTAAAGATATAAAACTTGTTAATCTAATGGTTTAGTTAAAAAGTAATGAAGTTGTTATGAAATTTAATCATTGGATTTGTAAGATTTTCATTCTCGCCCATTCTATCCTTCCTACAAAGCAAAGCTTGAGGGGAAAAAATATATTTCCAAAAGCAAAAGTTAGATAATGAAGATGTTGAAGCTAATGGGTAAAGAAACCATCATTTACTTCACCTATGCTTCATAATAAGAGGTATGGTTATGTCTAATCTTGTTTGTTTCAGCTCATATCCAGTTATTAACCCTATTCTATGTATTACTCCTTGTTCGATGAATGACCTAATGAAAATGAAACACTTCAAATCTGTATCGAAAACAAAAATGTTCATTGTCCTATGTTCACCTAAGACATAAATGCAGTTTTCGTTTATCCTTTTCTTCTGTCCCTCTTCTGTTTTGTTCGAGCAGAATGTTGTTAACACTCACCTTTTTTGTGCACCATTGGCATGCACAAGAAACCAATATGAATCAAAACAATCTTTACGGCATCCCAAAATTCAATCTTTTAGATTACAGAAAATTCTTCTTAAACCCCTATATTCCTTATCGCAAAGAATAAGAGATTTCTCCTCCACGAATGTAATCTATTTCTACATTTTGATCTTGCAGCTGATAAAAATCTCACTACACCAGTGTTTTCGTATAAACCTTTAATCCCTAATAAATTAAGCTCAGTACAACCAGCCAGAAGCTAGCATTACGGACAATGTTATACTAAATTCATGATAGAATAGCGATAACTTGAAATTCGAAAAGAGATACCCAGAAATATTTCTGATAAATTCATTGAAAAATATAAAAGAAACCATTAAAAAGTAGGAATAGATCAAACTTTTTCTACTAACTGAGTGTTCCCCCCCCCCCTTTTAAAATTCAACAGCCGCTATCACTAATCACTAATCATCCAGAACCATCATGATTTCAAAGAGAAAGAAGCAGTGTGCAAGCTTAACTGCAAAAAGAAAGAGCTAGAGGGAATCTTCAAGCTCCTCTAGCTTCTCCCTATTCTTCAATTCAAGTTCATACTGCCTCAATCTCTCCTTCATCTTCTCCTGTTGAAATAAAAATTAAAAAAAGTACAAATCAAAAGTCTACAATCTTTATAGAACAAATTAAGAAGCAGAGACATAACCAAAAGGGACCTTGTAGCTGAGCTCGACGCGGTGCATAACGTAGAAGCCAAGGATACCACCAAAAATGGTGCCGGTGATGATACGGACATACCCCCATTTCACTGAGTTCATACCCATTTTTGCACTCGATCTGCCTCACTGCTAGCTTTCAGTTGAATAACAATTGCTGCCCCCTTTTCAAGGTTTTTTTCACGGCGGGTTTCCCCCCTTTTTATAGTAACTGTTTAAAAGCAGGGAGGGGCACGGGCGGGGAGAGGTGGTTTTTTTTTTGCCGCATCAAACCCGACCCGAAAATATATTGTACATACCCGGTCTCGACTCGAAAATATATTCTCTACATCCGGCCTGTCTCGCCCGATAATTTTTAGTTTTTCTCTCGCCCTGAATCCGCCTTGATTTTTAGATCCGATTCGGTCCAAACTGAATATATTACTATTATAAAATAATTAGTTATTACTTTTTAAATTATTAAAATAATATAATTTATAATAATTTATGGAAAGATTTTATCTGTGGTTTTGTTGTACTCATTACTTGAATGGATATTCAGAGCTCTGAATTTTGCTGGTAAAAGTACGTGCATTGATGATGAACACGGTTGAATTAGCTAAAGTCGGTCACAGTTGCCAATGACTTTCTAATTTAATTTTTCCATTTTTGTTTAAAAAAAAGTATTAGTAGGGAAAATAGACAACAATAAAATTTAATTTAATCAATTTATCATATTATTAGTTATGTCACCTATCATAATGGATTAATACATCAATATTATAACCATTAGTCAAAATGTCATATTACTTTTTACAGTTTGAGGGCCACATTAGATGTAAATAAAATACGAGTCATATTAATTTATTTTAAAAGTATGAGTTTTAATTTTTTTTATTCGCCTAAAATAAATAAACCGCATTATTACTGACCACGTAGGACTGTCTCACCTAACACCACCTAATAGACCCCAATATACTCTTTATTGATATTCATTGTCACGTGAGAAGAAGATGTGAGGAGATGATTGGGTGGAACTTAGAAGAGTAAAGCCAATATAGTTAGCGTTCTTATGGTGCTACTTTACACTAAAACCTGCTGATTAAATGAGGGGGAAAGTTGGGTCTCCATCAACAAAACTAAATTACCCAATGAAATGAGAAGAAAGTATATGGATGGACAAATATATTTGGAGATTAAATCGAATATGGAGCGGTGTGTTCACACCACTCGTAGCTAGGATACTCGCTACACAAGAAAAGACAGATATGGATGAAGCAAGCGCCTGCCGACATTGACGGAACCGGTCCCAATGGAGTTTGGGAATTGGGACCCACATGACATTGACGTAACATTATTATGTTCAAATTAAACTTTAGCACATATAATTGATATTTAAACTATAGGGTAAAATCGCTTGAACATAAGGTTTTATTAAGTTTGTCCGCTATCAAGAATTATAAAATGGTATTTCAATTATATAATGTTATTTTATTAAATTTATCAGCTATTAAAAGTTACAAAATGATTGTATAAATTAAAAATTAATTTGATGATTGAGATATGGTATTCGTTTGAGATTCTAGAATCAAATTTTATCACATAACGATAAATATATTAACGTTCAACTCAATATATCGTCATTTTTTTAATAAAAAGATACAAGTTTAAAACATAATAAATTATTTGTTGACCATTTTATAATTTTTAATAGTTGATGAATTTAATAAAATAATATTATATAGTTAAAAGATCATTTTATAAATTTTAATAATTAAAAAATATTTTATAATTAAAAGATTATTCGTATGTTTTACCTTTAAATATGTGGGTTTTGGACAGGCATTTACACGGCTTTTTAATTTAATTTTTGAATTATAAAAACTTAGCAACAAAAATCCTTTAATCAAACATTATAAAGCCTGCGTGTTGTTATATGTCAGTTGACTTGACGACCATTCAAAAAAATTTGGAGGGTCCCACGCACCACATGTGATCTGTTTCCTTATTTCTTTTTACTTCATCACTCCCTATGCAAATGACGTGGACCCCACTCGCCATTTACCCAAACAAACAGGTTTTGTTGATCACGGATGTCATGTCAGAAATTTTATTATTTAAGATGTCAATATTTGTAATAAAATTCAAATAAAAAACATTATTACATAAATACCAACTTCAATCGCGCTGATTCAAGACGTGAAATTATCTTTATTTAAGCTGGAATGCTGAGCTACGTTAATATGGATTATTTGATATTTAGTGTGGAAGCTTAGGTTAATATTATTTGAAGACCCAATAAGTTTAATAGTTATTTTATAATATTTAAAAATTAATTAATCAAAAATCATTTTAAGACAATTAAATGATCTTTAATTTATTTATTTGAAATATTAAATATTTATTTTATCATAAAATGTTGAACTTTTACAAATCTTTAAAATTGTAGACTATGAATTACTTGTTTAGTCAAATTTATAAGATGATTGCAATAAGCAAATAATTGCAGATTTAAAAATATATATTTAGTTAATTAAAAAGTTAATATTGATGTCATGCCATGCTTTGTTATTTTAAAATTTATTAATACTCTCTGCTTTAGAAAACCCTAATTTTCCATCCTTATCTTAAAATAATACTCAATCAACTCGATTCTAACTCTGCGCTCCGCTCACGTAAAATCAAAAATCACAATCCATGGATCCGAAATCTCATAACCACGTGGCACGCATGCACGCGTTTACGTAATTGTAAACAAATACATCAACATGATCATATTTACAATAGAATGCACACTGCAATCACCTCATTGTACATAAAATTAATAAAGGTAACATAATTTCTAAGGTGGGGCAAGTTCTTTTATTAGTGCTTATTATGAAAGTTGTTGCTTTAATTCATATATTTTAATTTAATATTTTTCGTGCTATGTCATCGATTCTTGACAATATTGATAAATTATATGATTATGGATAACAGAAAAAATTAAAAAAATATAAAATTAAGATTTACCAATTTAAACCGCAAAAACTGAATATACAACTTTTATATAATACAAACACTAATTTCAGAAATCATAACCCTTAAAAGGGTGTTAAACTAATTAACTGCCGACGCTACTCCAAAGCTTCTTCTTCATTGGAATTTATTTGCCACTGTAAAAAGAAAGTACTACTACTAACAGTAATGGTAAAAATTTAACCTTAAAAGTTGCTATAACAATACAAAGGAACAAACTTGCTTCATTTTCTTAACCTTTTCTTACCAGAGGTGAAAGGGATGGGTAAATAAATAGAGTAACTAATGGGAAATTTAGTTACTTTCTTTTAACATTTACGAGAAGAGAACCCGACCCGATTACCAGCCAAATCGTAGCTCACACGTGTCCCTTGCTGCTGCACGTTCCCAATTATAGACAAAGACGACGACGTAGGGGCGAACGCGAAGCAAAACGTGCCCGACGAGTCCACCGGTATCAAATAATTCTTCGCCGGCAAATCCAGCGACTTTCCTTCGCCGAAACGAAGCGCCACCGTCGGGACCCTAACGCTGCTCCTCGAAGACAAGTCATAGCACGTGTCGAACAACGCCACCCCGCCGGTTGTCGGCAAGTCGCGCGTTAAGCTCACGAACGCGTCTCGGAGTGCGTTGTAAGCCTGCGTTTGCAGCCGGGTTATGGCCGTACCGCAGTCTACGATCACCCCGCCGTTTCCAGACTGGTCCAGATCGAAAAGTCCTGGCGGGAGTTGAACCGGTTGGCCACCCACGCCGAACCCGGTCAAACCTACGTAATAAAAGGTATCCACCTTTCGGCTCCTCAACAACGGAGCGACAACCGAGTCAGCCGGTAACCCGGCGTTGAAATCCAAAGACGACGACTCGGCCGAGTCACGATCCACCAAACAATAAGAGAACGACGTCGCTTTGATCTGCGATGTCATAGACAAGGGACCGCCGCCGAGCCCAAGCAAACCGGCAGCTGAAACGAACAAGCCTTCGTTGGTATGCCCACAACCCAAAGCAACGCCGTTGATATTACCGGAATTCCCAAACGACACCGTTTCGGTAACGAAATCGCCCACGGTGTACGACCCATCCCCGTACGAGACTTGGTAAAGACATTTCCCGCCACGGCAGTCAGAGACTTGAAGAGAAGAGCATTGCCTTGAGTCGCAAGAAACCGGGCTGTAAGTGGAGGACGCGGAGGGGTTGAATATCGGGTCGGTTTGTTGGTAGCACTCCGAACAGGGCTCACATTGGATCCAATTAATGTCACTTCCGGTATCGAGAACCATGTAGAATTGTTTAACCGGGCTACCGATTCCGACCCGGGTGAAATACTCCCCACTACCTAGACTCGTCCCGGAAATAACAGGTGTAGAAAGCGCCTCGGGTTCGATGTCCGTGGGAACAGGCTTGATCTCCGACTTATGTACCCCGCTGACAACGAGTTCCAGCTCGGTTGTAAGTGAGTCGACTCGGGCTGAGTCACGTTCGAGTCGGGAAAGCACAAGGCTTTTGTAATCAGTATGATGGGTTTTGCGAATGGAGCCACGCGAGTGAAGTGGAACTGAGAAAACAGAACCAGAGGAAGAAGAAGAGTTGAATGAAACGGGTTGGGTTTCGGAAACGGAAAAGGGTCCAGAAGATTGCGGGTCGAAGGAAAGAATATGTTGAGCTTGTTTAAGAGAAGCAGAGACATCGAGCGTGGCGGTTGTTGGCGGAGGGGAACGAGCGAGGGAAAAAGGAAACAAGAGAGAAAGTAAAAAGGAAACAGAGAAGAGAAAGGAAAGCTTTGAAGAAGAAGCCATTGTTTTTCGTTTGTAGTTTTGTTTGTTAGAGAGTTCCGAGTTATAAAGACGATATGGAACGTCAGCGTCAGGCTCGTTGGCGGTCACTAAATGACTAAAAGGCTTAAGCAAGAAGCAGCTGCCCACTGTGAGTGGCAGAGCTTTGAACATTACTTTCTATGGTTCTCTTTGTTTTACTTCCTCTAAAATAATGATAAAGTGCATAAATGTGTATTATTTTATTTAAATTTTCAATCATTAAAAAAAATTATAAGATAATTTCTCGAATATAAGACGTTATTTTGTTTAGTTCTCGATTATTAAAAGTTTTAAACTAATATTTTTTTGTTAAAAATTTGATTATCACATAAGTTATACGTTAACTTGCTCATTGAGATATAATAAAATCTAATCTCATAACTTTTTTATTTGTATTTTGTAGATATACTCTCTGTTTACATTGTGTTTTCGATATAACGTTTGAAACATTACTTCGTCGACCCGGTGTTCGAAAGCAACATCGATATCAATAGACATCATTAAAATATAATTTTATCATATATTAAATTTCAGGTTAACAACCAATCAAATGAGCATCAATTTTTTTAAAGAAAAAGTAACGAATTTGAAATATATAAATAATTGGGTGATCATTTTATAACTTCTAATAGTCGAGTGACTCAACAAAGTAATGACTTATAATCGAAAGACTATTTTATAATTTTTAATAGTCGACGGACTCAATAAAATAACATCATATAGTCAAATATCATTTACGTACTTTACCCTTATAATAATACCTATAAATACATTTATCCATAAAAAAATACCAAAAAATAATTATAAATCCAACCCCTTTACGTTATATTTATTTTAATATTTAAAAGTTTTGATTGAGTGTAAGATTATAGATTAATTAAATGCTAATTTAATTGAAAGTACAAGGACTCGTACTGTAATTCCACCCATATACTAAGAAGTATGTTTCTTTCCTTTAATTTCCAAAAATTACAATTTAACTACTTTTCAATTATTAATTTCCAAAAAAATAAGTATATTTTAAATATAGTATATTTTTTTGACAAATTAAATACATTATAATTTATTAAATAAAAATGATAGAAATTATTTAAGTAAAGTGTAAAGTTATGGGAACTACAAGTGATAAAAAGTGAAACCGAATGGAGTTTAGAACTTGAGTTTGACGCAATGTTATACCATTAATCAATCATCATTGTTGTCTAAAATAAATAGGATAAAATACACCATAAGTCATCAAGTTATATTTAAATAAACATTTTGATAATTAAATTTTAAAAAATTATAAAATAATCACTAAATTTTATCAAATTATTATAAAATTTATGATTAATTTTTATTCGCAAAACTACTATGCTTTCTCTTCACATGTTTCATCCCCGTGACCCAGTCGCGATCACGGAGTTCCTTCAAAGCATCTACCAGAGTGTTTCTAGTTAGTGCATCAGAAAGGTCATAGATTCAAGCAACCTTAAAGTTGTTAGTTTCAACTTCCATCATTTTCACATGTCTCCATGCATGCACTAAGGTGTTGTGAGCGGCCCACGATTCAGCTACGATAACTGAGCATGTCTAAACTCCAAGTATATCTAAATATCCAATCCCCATCACGGTTCCATAATACCCCACCAGCAGCAGCCGAGTTATCGCCAGTATTCACGACACCATCAGAATTGACTTTGACCCAACCTGTAGGAGGACGAGTCCACGGTAATGATAAACTAGGGGGTCGAACCCATAATTTTAGTGATTAAAATGATTATTTTAATATAATCAATAATCCAACTAAAAATAGATATCCACTTATATACATACACATCATATATAGAACCATGTATCATGTTTATAATGGGAACTACTAGCATCATTCATAATTAAATGAATTTTAATTGAGTTCACCCACTCTAAACCCACAATTAAAACAGATTTGATGTGTTTCAGAACACATTCATTTGCCTTTATTTTTTGTAAAAGTACAGTCTACAAATAGTGTTGGCACAGCACAACAAACAAATAATTATCGTCTAATTAAATAAGTTAAGACAGATTGTCAATAAGGGTATATTATAGTTTTTTTTATTAAGCTAAGATCATTATAAAGTAGTATATGTTATAATACTCTCAACCATTTGACAATGAATACTCTATCACCCTACAATTTCTGGAATTTCTATGCATTTTTTCAACGCTATGTATAATATATATTTCTCTTACGATGAACAGCATGAATGCAAAAGTATTGAGTAGATGAAGCTAAAGTCCCTGCGGGAGGTTGAGAATTTTATCTCCGATGAGGGCTTCCTCGGAGCCATTGCTGCATTCGGCGAAATACATTTTTCAAGTCAGAGATTTCGAAAGGGAAACGTGCAGAGTCGGAAGAAAAAAGAGGGCGGATGATGACCCGAGGTAGCTTAGAGCTGACATTCGATATAGACAAGTAAAGACTAGGATATGCAGACCGATTGTGTAGAAAAATGCAAATGTTCGAGCATACCTACAAAAAAAATGGTGGTAACTCATTAGCGAATCATCGAACTCTCTATCGATGCGGATAAGTAACATAAACATTGCAGACCCAAGTTGTTTTCGTGTTCATGTGAGGACTGCACTTCATGTAACCGTAAGCCATCACATGTGCTATTACATCATACGGGGCTAAACCATATCTGATATCATGAAGGGAAAATAAATGCATAGACATGCAAAGTAATATATCAAAAATACTATGCAGTCCCAAAAAACTAAGTTGGTCCAAAGAGAGTGGTCTATAAATGGACCTAAACCGGCCTCGACGAGAATGCTAGATGCCCCGAATCTACCAAACCTTATTGCCACCTTTACGTATGTGCTGTGCATACACTCAAATGAAAATGCTGTAAAGGGAACGAAAGATCCGGCCAATTTAAGAATGTAATTCGACAATGAAATGAAAACAGTACTTGTTTCCGAGAACGAACGTCCACTGCTCTGTGTGATTCTGTCTATGAAACCCAGCTCCTTGTATCCTTGATCCCTCTCCTATGTTATAAACAGAAATTGAGTATTCCATGGTGTCATACAAATAACATGAAAATAATTATGACCTGAATTGGAATGGTCCATGAATGAAAATGCTAACTGGATTGTTTACATATTCCTACGTTTTGAGTTAGCACGGATGGTAGAAAACCGCGAGCATGCATGTCTCGACCAATGGACTTTGTTGCCGGTCGAAACAAGCTTTACAATGATACTTATTATTCATTTATTTTCCTGGTAGAAATTTTAGGATTTTTTTTTTAAAATAATATTATTTATATCAATAAAATGATATCGTTTTAGGTTTTTTTAGGCTTCCACTTCAGCAACGTCACGACACAGAGCTATCATGTCATCGTGCCGTTAAATAATTAACAGCAGAGTAATATAATTGCATTTAAAAGTAAATGTTAGTGTTAAAATTAATAAAATTGTAACGTTTGTGGTATAAGCAAATCAGTACCCTTAAGTTTTTTTTCTATGGAACTAGCATGGGAATCTGCATAACAATCTATGTGTACATCATTGATGATGCGATAATTCATATCAACTTATAATCTTTTTATAATAATTTATTTCTAAAAAATTAGAACTATTTATCAATATAGTTATATCAATAATAAAATAAACATAAATGTTCATTTATCACATTAATATTATAATAATTTTAATAATTTAACAATCATTTATGAGAAAATCGTTCTCAATTAAACCTTGATAATGTAAATTTTATATAAACGTGACACCACAAAAGATAGCTAGAAATGATTGATGGAACATTTGCATCAATTACCAATGTCTACCATTTAATTTTCATATGTGATACGCGTAGGAAATTAACAGGCTGTTTATTTGGTTCTGAATGAAACTATTCAACGATGAATGCTGAACCGTTCAGTGCTGAAACCGTTCAGTATTCAGACTGTTTGTTTCTCACCTCTGAATGATTCAATGCTGACTGATTCAACAAAACAGTGTTGAATGATTTAACACAGAAGTATATTATGAATAATTCAGAGCCATTATCAAACATCATGTCACATTCAGAGTTAATTCATACAGAGCCTCTGAACCATTCAACATTTGAATCATTCAGCACTTAATCATTCTGAAGTAAACAAACAACTCCTAAATCGAGTTAATTTCATTTGATGTCTTAAATTTTAGAACATTTCGGTCAAATCCTCGAATTAAAGTATTGTTTCAATAAGTTTATGAATCTAGGCGTCACTTTGATGTTGAATACTAGCTTAGTTTTTGACGTTTTCCAAAATATCTATTAATCCATATTTATATTAAAAAATCATAATAGATTGAAGTTGACATTTAGTGGTAAAACTTATAGTTTGACTAATTGAAGGATTTGATTGAAATAATTTCAGTTTAAGGGCCAATATAGAATTTAATAATTGAGGATGTATAATGTAATTAATCCAAATTAATTTCCACAATATAACGTTTAAAGGATAAAGTAACAACTATTCAATCGATTCCCAAATCGAATCAATCACAATATACTTAAAATGATTTAAGAATTGGAGAGAGCAAAATTAGAAATAAAATCTCAAAACAACTAAATTACTTTAGTAAGAAATCATTTTAATTTTAATTTTTTTATTATTCGAACTTTATAAATTCAAATTCAACCTAAACTCATAGATTGAATCAAAATTTCAAATTAACTTGAATAACGTCAAAACAACTAAATTTTGAATATCTTAGAATTAAAAAAATCAAATCAAATCAAATCTAATTTTTATAATAAGACTTAATGCTCAAATAAGTACTCAAACTATATCTTTTGTGTCAAATAAGTGCCTACATTTTTTTTGGCCAATCCAAGTGTCTAACGTTAGCATTTTAGATGTTCAGACAGTCAAGGGCACTAGTTTTTCCTGTTAAGTGACACATGTCATAACCTGATAATTTGAATTTTTTTATAAAAAATTAAAAAAATAAAACTATATACATTTAAAAAAACACATAAATTTTGAAATAACCCCTAAGCTTTGAAAACATTCATTTCAACCCCTAAACCCAAGTCGATCGCTACCCTTTACCATCGAAAAAGCTTCACCCAACCTCCCCTCCCCCAGCGACCAAAACCCCTATAAAATCGTGATCGATTGACGATCGATCGATAACAAATTGACATTTTAAATCCTACGAACCCTAGGATGAAAATCACGATCTCACATGATTCTGATGGTGAATCAACAACTATATAACTAAGATGATAACAAATACTATGTCGGTAGCAATGAACGTGGCCATAGAGGGTTGCGACGACAAGTTAAGATTAAGATTTGAGATTTTAAAATTATTTTATAATATAAGAAATCTTAGGATATTTTAATAAATATAATAATATTTTTAATTTTTTAAAAAATATAAATTTCAAAATTACCAGGTTATAACACGTAGACACCTAAAGTGCTAACGTTTGTAATATTAGACATCCAGATGGGCCAAAAAAATATACACTTATTTGGAACAAAAGGTATAGTTTAGTCACTTATTTGGCATTAAACCTTATAATAATAATAAAAAAAATAGCACCATAAGATTGCTCGTCAGAAATAACTCAGCACCCAAAGTTAAGAAAATTAAATATTTATATTGCAACTGAGTTTTTGAATTCAAATGGGTACAAAACACAAAGGGGTAAAAAAACAAAAAACAAAAACTGAGGGTTAAAAAAGGGACAGAACTAGAAGAGATACCATTAATCTAGGGTTCTAGCTAGACATCATGGTGAGTTGATCACTTGATTGTAGGGCTTGGGTGGCGAAAAACCTCACATCAACATCTGGATCCTCACTCAATTCAACCAGACATGGACGGATTGTCTTCTCCACCACCTGTTTGTATTCATCACTCGACGATTATATAAACAACAAATTCACGGTTACATTATAATATAAACACTAGAATTTTAACAGGGACAGTCGTAGAAACGAAAATAAATTCACTTACAGACTGATCGACAATAGGGATAATCGACTGCAGCACCTTGGCCACATTAAATTTGATGTTCGGTACCCTGAAATAATTCAATTTTCGGTCTCGTAACTAAAGACGAAGGATCCAAAAAAACAGTTTCAAATCAAACTTCTATCAACTTTACCCATCTTTTGAAGCATTGATAACCACGGGGAGAAGCATCGAACAAGTAATTTCTTCACCCATAACAGGGGCAAGTAGAGAAATTGCCTGCAGGATGGTCATCCGATATAGATAATGTGGATCGTTTATCATGTCCAAAACCTGTAAATAGATATTCGGGAAAAGACGTCTTATTGAGACCCGGCATCATCTTCAGGTGTCCCCCTTTTAACTTACTCAGAAAAAAGATTATTTACATAAGCAAACTGACCTGCGGAACTATGTGCTGCATTGCCCATTCTGGTCCAAATTCTTCTGCCAGGCGCTTCACATTATTAGCAGCAGCCTCACGGATGGAATAAACCTACAACCGACAAAGTTAGCAAATTTTATCTCGTAATAAGTTCCTAGTTAATATCTGTTATTTCTACTCTCCGACAAGAGACACTTGAATACGAATAGAATCGTAAAGAAACAGGCACATAAACTCCATTGCACCTTATCTTTTAGCCATTGCATGCAGAGTGCGCCAAGTTTGTCATCAAAAAAGCCAACACCCAACTGGCTTGCCAATAAAGGTATGTATTCTATTATTGCAAGCCGAACCCTCCAGTGTTTATCCTCGGCAAGCTCCACAATGGCTGGCAATAGGGACTGGGAAAGCAAATCAATTCCAATTACCTGCAATGATAGGCATGTTAACAATATGCGGCATTCGACTATAAGCAAGAGATATTCACTAACGTGCCCCTAGTATGTAGCACTTCCAACCACACCGCCAAAACAAATTATTAAAATATTGAGACGATAAATAATGAAACTGTGGGCGATAAGTGCCAGTCAAATATTATAAATATAATCAATGACACAATGTCACTCCTACTTGACTCTTGTGGTAAGGTTAGGTTGTAGATCCTAGGTTTTGCAGCCTCACTGCTCTCAATTTTACCAAAATATTAATTCATAACACATCATTTATCTAAACCTCGAAATACTTAACAGTTAATCCAGTCAGAGGTTTCCTTTCACTTCTCAGTAAAACAAAGAAAATGTAAGAACCATTCAACCCAAATCAGTTGACAAGCTAACAGTTTGAAAAAATATCTGTTGAAACCGTTGCCGTTCTTAATAAAATCTTAAATTATGTCCCACCTGGTTGACTTGATCAAGCTTGCTAATTATATTCAGCCGGACATCTGGAAATTCATCTTTCAAAAGAGAAAGAAATATAGGAAGCAATTGCTCTATGGTCGCATCCTACAACCATCAACGAGATAACATTATTGCATGTATAAAAAAACATACCAGAAAACATTATGAAACCTATACTTCCCAAAACTGAATTTCATAGAGGTTGACTGTCTGAACACAAAAAA